AACTTTTCTGACATCAAACTTTTCGATACTTTCAAAACAATCTCCAATATTTTTAACAGTTCTTTTAAATCATTGTTCTCGAGTTTACCAACTCTAGTTTTCCATATACCAAATATGTTTTCAATCGGATTGCACTCTGGAGAATATGGAGCATTAAAAAGAACTCTGCAGCCTCTATTTTCTGCAATCTTGATGATTTCTTTTTGATGTACCACAGCGTTATCCAATACAAAAACGACATTTCCAAGCAAACAGATATAATGTTCAACAAGCAATTTAAATCCAGCAGAAAATATATCTCCATCAACGACTTGGTTAAACACCCTGCAAAATTTGTCTCCACTTTCTGCAATCGAACATATACAACTAATATTGAATGTCGACAGGGGAGAAATTCTAAAATGTTTTTTCCCTTTTAAACCCCAATGTTTTGTTTTTACATTACCCAATTTCCAATGAGATTCATCAACAAACACAACAGCAAATCCGGCTTTATGACAACTTTTCAACTCTAACAATCTGTTGACACATAGTTCTTTATTTTCTAATGTGTTGGCAACTTTTCCTCGTATTGACACTTTTGTAAATGACAGAGGATCTAGTTTGACATTTTTCATCAATTTTTCATTGGTTATGTACCTGTCTAATGAAGATACAGAAATATCGTAATTTTTTTCTGCCAAGGCCTTTTTGGCTTGCCTCAAAGACATATTTTGTAGACAAAGAAGCGAAGTTACCTCTTTCAACATGTCGTCTGTATATTTTGGTTTTCTTCCTATCTTCTTCTTTGTTATATCGCTTCCATCTTTCAATTTTTTAATATAAAATTTCACTCTTTCTGTTGGTATTTTGGTTTTATTTACATACCAATCAACGGATTGAGACAATCCATTTTCTTCATACAACTCTCTGAGATATGAAATTTGTTCATCCGTGAGAGTATTGTAACATCTTTTTCGGTGTTTTTTTAGTGTCTTCTTCCATTTGAGAAGATAATTGAGGATGATAATTGATTTGTTGTTCTAAAAGTGTACTTTCAGTAACCGGAGAAACATTTGGGGGAGTGTTTGGAGGTTTACATAAAGGTCCTATAAAAGGTTGTTTGAACAATGCAATTTCAGACTTAGGCACATATTCGATAGAGTCACTCATATTTATTATAAAGTTTAAACATGTGTTTATATATTCATTTATTTTGTTAAATATATTTAGAAGTTATAACATTTGCCAATTATTCAAGTTATAATTTTCATTTTTTGTTAATTTTATTTGAAACAAAAAATGTCAATTTTGAAACAATTTTAATTTAAATTTGTACAAAAAGAATTTTATTTGAAACAATAATAATTATTTATGAGACATTTAAAAAATGTACATTTTTGTTTTTTTTTTGTGAAACACTTTAAATTTATTTTGATAATATTTTTATTTTATTTGGTACAATCATATTTATTTGTTGAACATTTTTAAATTAATTTGAAACTAACTGTATGTAGTAAATTTTAAACCTAAGAACTGGTGAATTTTTAATTTGTTTTTTATATAAAGTAATTATAATCTTAAAATATTTGATTGATTATTGTTATCTGAATTGTTATACAAATTGAAAATGATTATTAAAACTTAATAAAACGACAGTTGGTGTTGTAACATTTTTCCTGTAATTTTGGGTTTATTATACTTAATATTTTGAAATTTGTATTGTTTTGAATTGGTCACTTATTAGTTTAAAAAATGGGATATTTTAAATATACTATTTCTATTTATATTTGGGATTGCGGATGAAACATAGTACCCGTATTTTAATTTCTGAATTTTTTAAAAAATGAAACGATCTTTCGATAGCAAAATAATTAATATATTTTGATTATATATACTATATATATAATTTGAAAAATAATAATATGTGTTTTTTTATTAGTAAAATAGATGGTTAATATTAAAAATCATCATGGTGTATAGTAAAATCCATTATTTTCTTTGTTATATTTTTAAAATCATCACCATATAAATAAAGTGCAAAAATCACTGTGAATTTTTTTAATAGTGATTTTCACACTTCATGATGATTTTCAAATAAACCGTGATCGCCTTAAAAATGGTAATTATCAAAATTTTGATTTTTTTGGGCCACAAATCCTTCCCATTGTTTAAATGAAATTCACTTCCAATAAAAATATACCTTTTGGTGGCACTGCCCAAAATAAAAATGTGTAATTAATTCAACTAAATTGGAATACAACAACACTATTGGGTGTGAAGTGGTAATCATCTGTTAATACATTTGAACCTGCCGTAAATGTATACTTACATTGATTACACTCGCTACCTTTTATGCCTTTTTTATAGACCCCAACTTCATACCCCCACCCAAATCCAAATAGACAATCACTCTCTTTTGTACACAAATAAAACTCTTCACAACTGATATTTTTACTCTTCCCAAACTTTACCGGATTTAAAATATCATTTCTCACAAGAGAAAAAATATAAGAACTCCCACTGCTTAGCCAACAATCTTTTTGATCTATTTTTCCAGTGAACACCCCTCCAAACTTGTTGTTATTTGTGTCTTCTATTAAAAAGCATAAATTCTTTTTATCCATCACTTTACTATCGAAAACAGAAGTATTTTGTGACCAGTCATCTCTATTACTATCAAACACGACACTTCTTATTGTCTTATTAAACAACTTTTCTAAACTTTCTTTTTCTTCAAATGTGATGTATTCTAAAAATGGGGTTTTACTTTGTTGTTTAAATCGTTTGGACTTTTTCAATTCGTTAATTCGATCATCTTTAAGTTGTACTATTTTTGCAATTTCGTCCTCAAACGGCTTTGTATTCATTTCACATTGTTCCTCGAGAAGTTCAACTTGCAAATTAAATATTTCATTTAATTTTGTGGTGTATGTGTGCATCGAATATTTCGTCATCTCATCTTGAATTTTTGTTTCGATTTTTTTCAAATTGGTGAGAATTGTTTCGAGAGAAATATTAATATGTTCATTCCTCTCATAAGTTTCATCAAGTCTATCGAAGTACCCTTCCGCATTTTCAATTCGTTGTGTTATGTTAAGTGTTTTGTTATCTACAAAATTATCTTCAACTCTACTGTTGAGTAAATCCAAAATTGATTTTGAAGTGTTCGTACAAAGTGTTGAAAGTGTTTGTAATGCTTCGTCCATCTGTAATTATTAAGTTTATGTGTTTTTTTCTTATTTTATAATAAACATATTATAATAATTTTTATTTTATTTTATTATTATTATTATTAATTATACAAAGATGAAAAAAAATCTCTATTTTTCAAAAAGAAATCATGTACCACGTAAACAAATAAATGCGTTACGACGATTCGATACGTTCTAATTATGTTAATAGTTATATAATAATTGTTCTTTTCAAAATCTTAATTTTATTTTTATTTTATGTATTTACAACAAATAGCTTTTAAATGAAGTTTTTACAATTTAAATGATTTTTTTATAACAAAAATCACATCAAGAATAATAATGAAAATGATTAAATTGAAGATTATTTCAACACTTTAATCGGCGTACTTCTTTTTGAGCTCTTCGATTTCTTCAGGGGTGTAATCGTTTTCCTCGTTAAGATAAGCTCTCATCTGTTCGACGGTTTTCCCAACCAAATTCTTTGCAATAGTTTTCGCAGTCGCTTCAACGAGCATATCAATGTTCATGAAAGTCGCAGCCTTCAACATCTCGAAGAGCATATCCTTCTCGAGTGACTCACAGAATTTGACATCCCATGGGTGGAGATCCGCGTTTTTGTCTCTATCGCCAATCACAAAATCCGGGTACATCAATGGGTGCTCGTTGTGGAAGTTCAACCACTCAACTACCTTTTCCAATACAGTGCCTTCGACTTTCAACAATGGAATTGCTTCCTCGGCATTCGCTCTCTCTTTCATCATATTCTCAACTTGTTTTGATTGTTTTGCGGCTTCTTCAGTGAGTGTGAAGAGCTTGCCATCAGATGATTTCAAGATAACGTTTTGAGCCATTTGGTGTTTTGAAGTTCAATTTTTCGGTTTAAATAGAAGATGAACGTTTTGAGGATTAAGTCAAACCTCAATACATATTGGTGTTGTTTTTTATAAGTTTCATTATTGTAAAAATATAAAATTTGTTTTATAACTTAATAGTATGTGTGAGGATAATTTGAAAATAACTAAAATCGGTTCTGAAAAAAAAGCTAAATAGAATTTTTGTCAAACTAGAAAATTTTATTTAATATAATTATAAATTATCTTTTGTTATTATATAATATTTAGTTTTTTATAATAACAATAAATTATCAATATTCAATTTGTTATTTTGTTATTATTTATTTATTATAATATAATTAATATTACATTTAACGTTGTTTTTGAATAACCATTATTACACAATAATAACAAGTTGTGTAATAAGATTATTATAACAATTGCTCCAAATTTAATTATAATTGTGCATTAACCCTTCCAATACCAGAAATATGATTGTTATAACACTCATACAAATGAATATAAACTTAAATCGGTAAACTAAAAGTTATTCTAAATAAAACATTATTTAGTTTTAATATTATAGTTTTCAGTTCTGGTTTGATGTAATATTTTTAATATATAAAAAGTTTGCACGTTTTATTTTTTGTATATTATATAAATTAAAAGTCTAACACAGTTGTGTCATACAAATCAGTTATAACATATATTTTATAATAATGTAAAGTAATGTATATAAAGGTTCTTTTTTATAAACGTGAAAAAGTTCGCGATGTTGTTTATATACATTTGGTTTATTTTGTGTAATGAAAACGATTTTTTTAAAACGATAGTTAAGAAGAAAAATATGTCAATATATCTCGTATACATATGATTCTCAACAAAAGTTTATAATGTGAAAACTCTAACAATCAGTGTGGTTGTACAACTAATATCATAATATTTGATTGTTTGTTACATATATCAAAATTCAATAAAATATCAACATTTTTACACGTTAGTTACAAAACATCAAAACATTTACAATATAAACTTAATTAAAATAATTACTTTTAGTATTTTTAAAGTATGGCGTATCCCTTGTTTTTGAATGAATAACTTTTTATCAGAATTTTATTTGATACGTTTTCTTATTTTAAAACCCTGTTTTTAGAAAGACTTATAATGTATCGTTTAATATACTATACACTATTTTTTTGATATAAAAAGAAAAAAAAATAAACTTGAAAATAATAACAGGAAAAGTCGTCAAGTTTTCCTCACAGAAAAAGTGAACCTTTTTTCAACAAAAATGCGATTGTAAGTTAAAAATTACTATTAAATTGTAGTAAATTAAATTATTTTATATTATTAATTTTGTTTCCTGGTATTCCCCATAATTGTAAAAAGTTTAAAGCGTTTTTGCATTATTTTTTTCTAATATACACTCGAAATGAATAATATATAAATAAGTTTACATTTTTGGAAATTTTTGGTACCGGAAGGGTTAAAAAAACAATAATAATGTTGTAGCAGGGTTCATCAAATTTAGATAAAGTACGAGTTATGAAACACGTTTTTTTTTGAAATACATAAACAATAACATTTTTGACTTTGGTTTTTCATGAGTATGTTATATTTGTATTAATTAAAATTTTAATAAAACTGAAACTAAAATAATAATAATAATAATAATAATAATATAAAAACCATAATTACATAAAAGATTTTTTTTTCAACCAAATCGATCTTTTTTTGATTATTTACTTGAAAAAATGTTAACTCGCCCTTAATGGGATTAATTTGATGAATCATGGTTGCAGCATAAATAAACATTTTTTTGAAAAGTGAACCTTATCAGATATAATATAAAAAACTTTTAACAGATTTAAACGTATTCAAAACATTAATATTTTATTATATATCTTGTGTTTTTAAACAATAAAAACATTGTATCATCTGTAGACGATGACGATTTTGAGTTATAAAAATATATTAATTAATATCAAGTAACAATCGTAATAATCGTTGATAATACCAATCGAAAAGTCCAAATTCACATTCATTTTATAAAAAAATATAATTTGGCGTGTTTAATCATGCTATTAACATGTATTAAATATGCTTTATAATTATTATTATGTATAATCGAAGATAACAAATGCGTTTTATTAAGTTGGGGTATATATTCTTATCAAAAGCCTTATCAATAATCTCATTTCAATGAATTATAATAATTAATTATGGTGTATTATATTGATATAATCAATTTATAATTTATTTTTGAGTTGGTTTTAAATATGAAGTAAATTCAAAAAACTTAAATTAAAGGATTGTCGTAAACCATTTCTTCATTGTTTTGAACTACTTTAGATGTTATTGAAACAGAGAAGAAGCATATTGAGTAGAATGGTACTGCAATAAATGACAAAATAAGTGTGACAACGTTACATATTATAGCAAATATAAGAGAAAGACCATCAGAATCACTTCCCCCTCTACAAGAATTACATGGTCCAACTTTTCCTGTATTATCATCATATTGTGTTTGGCAAGCACATTCATAATTTTCATCGGGGTTGTAATCAACGCAACAGTGATGCTATTTATTAATAATTAGTTTCAAATGTTATACTGTAAATAATATAATGTCATAAATATAGTATTGTATATTATTATTATATATTATTATTTAATAACATAACCAATTTAACTATACTCTATTAGTATAAT